TGATTTTGATCGTGTTCCTGCTGTTGTTGAACTGTGCTGTCAGGCAGGAGCTATTCCCCATGATTTGGATATTCAATCTTTGAACTGTTTGTCTGACCCTACTGTACATCTTGCTTTGAGCGGACCTGATTCCTTGTCTGCAGATCAACTGAGAGCCATAGGAAATCGAACATTAAGCGCATGGGAACTTCTTAGACATGGTGTGCAAAAGCTCTTGTTAGTCTATTCAGCTAAGGTCTGCAAATACTGTTCAGAAGTTCATGTGGGGCCATCAGGCCATAAGGCCCGACTTTGTGGAGTATTCAAGTATCAGAATTGGCGAGGTAATCATTTCTGGGAAAAGGCAGGTGTAGATGATTTGGTACCACCTAAAATGGTGTGGTTTCGTCGGCCTCAAGACCCTCCAGCACTTTTGCATGAAGACCGCAATTATTATGGACACGCACCTGCTGTAATAGATCTCTGCATGAAGGCTGGTGCTGTGTCACCCCCAAGTATTTGTGTATGATGAAAGCTCAAGGTTTAAAAGGGCCGCCTCCATATAGGGCTTCTGGCTAAATGCACATCTTTGACTGCTCTTGGCTTTGCATTCACTTGCCATTGTCTATGGTTTTTGAGATCAAGCAAATTCTGTTTTAGCACGACCTTACATCCCCAAAGAAGCTTTTGGATGACAGTCTGGTATGTCCGTGTGACCAAATTCATTGTAAATAATATTTTGTTTAAGATATTTAGATTTAGTTGATTTTATCATTTGTATGCCTGTTGAAATGAATGGACTGGCAAACCCCACCAAAGTTTGGATCTAAGTGGCGGAAAGAGGGGGGGTTGTTATTTTATCCAGATTAGCTGAATTTTTGAGCTGATCAGTTCTGGCCCAGGATATAGTTCAGGTTTTGGCTGAAATTTTCGATTTTGACTTGTGGGTTGGACTAATGTGCGTTAGTTTCTAGTCCAGTTAGTCTATTCTGGTCAAAAAATGTGGCCCCTCTTGATTTTTAGGCTGAAATTCGCCTGGGTTTTGTTTCCATAGCCGATTTGGTCTTCTGATAGATGAATTATGACGGGTAAGTCAAATAAAAAGATCTCTTACCACTTGATATGTGGCAGATTAGATTTACTTCTTCGTGGCTCCACCCAAAAGATAAATATCAGCAAGCTTCCATTAGCTTTCTTGACACTTAATCTCTGTCTTGATATGAGGGGAGAAATTATGTGAAATATGTAAAATCCACCTCCAAGGTAAATCCTAGGATTTTGGTGATATTTTTTTGAAGTTTATAATTTATAAGTCAGATTATTAATTTTGTAAGATAATGCAGGTATCTAGAAAATTAATACCTTGTGAGTCTGTAATCAGTTCACCACAATGACACAAAAGTATAATGGATTGTAAATAATGAGAGAAATTATTGTGCTAATATGATATAATTTGGGTAAAAACCAAGGCATTTAAATAGTTGGGATTTCCGTGATCCGGAGCTGATTTCCACTGGCGATTGCACTCTCCCTCTTTAAAATATAGTGTAGAAATTAATTTAAGGTGTGCGGAAATCTTATTAAAAGAATTTCCCGTTTGATTGTAACTAAAGTGTATTCTGATCTTGGACTGATGCATGTCCAATTGTCCACCAAAATCATGTTCAAGATTGATGACTAGTGATTCAATTTTTTTTATGAAATCTTGGAATCCCATTATGTAGTTTTCTTGCTCTACTAGTCTAGTTTGTTTGCTTTTACAGTTTTGATTGTCTTAGAAATAACACCCCTAACTTGTGAACCTGGGCTAAAGTAACTCAACGAGAAGATTTCTGATTTTCCTACCAATTACCCTGTGTGTAACTGGAGATTCTGAATTACTTGCTTTATCTGCATGTTTTGGACATGTAATTTGACCTGCATAGGAATTTTGGTCAATAGTGTTTTCATCTCTTAGGCATGTTACAACGATTCTCTTGGTTAGTGCCCTAAAATCCTAAAAATGCACCAGGTTTGACATTACTTTTTTGGCCTCTCTGTTCCCCCTTTTCCTCATCAATTAAGGGATTGCTTTGGCTTCCAAAGGATACTGGTTTTCAGATCTTGACAGGGAATTTTTTTTTTATATTTTTTTATATTAAAGAATTGAAGTGAGTAGTGATCTTGTTAGGCCAAATTTCATCCTTTCGAAACTTGGTAGTTGGAATTTGGTGACAGTAACTAACAGTTATGTCACCAATTCTTCCTTGTGAAATGCAGCGACCATGAGAATCACCTTGTCAAATTCTGTTAATTTTGGAAGTTGCTATTAAGGAATTATAGGGTTTCAGGTTTGATGTATTGTGGGCATATATACCCTGGAAAGTAAGGAGGAATTTTGGAAATGTTTGAGGTGATGTATATACTTTTGTACTTACGTGAGGATCTCTTTTTTTATTCCCGAAAAGAGAAATTTGATCTTATTTTAGGGTGCTTCTATTTTAAAGCTGCCCTAGTAATTTAATCAGGTAGCCACATAATGTATGTAGTTATGTCCAGAATATTGAAAATGCCATTGAGATTTTTGTCCGATTTTAGATTTATCATTGCTCAGATTTTATCATGCATAACTTGGTATACCTAATACCTCACTGATGATTTTGATAGTTTACCCTCTGACTTTGCATCTATCATTGTCTGATAATGAGTTTCAGGTGCAGTGATGCCAAGTGTATATTACTCCCCGGTCTATAAATCGCAACTATTCAAACCTCTGACTTTGCTCATGCAAGCCTCAAGAAATTGTCAAGTGAAGAGGCTCCTTCATGAATTACTCGCGCACCTATTCAAACCTCTTAACAGCTTCTAAATGGTTGATAGTTGGATACTTGTCGGTTGCCATTGTGGATTTGTGCATTGTTTTTAGTTATGCTAACTATCCTTTAAAAGAATAAGTTGTGGAGACAAAAGTACAACTTATAGTTTTATTGACAGATATCTCATCATCATCATCTTAATAGGACAGCAAATTGTATACTTTGATTACCAAATTTGGTTTACCAATACCACCTACCATATTGATATTGTTGTTATTGTTACAAGCAGAAATTCATCACAAGCAAATATTCAAATGTGTCATTTGAATACAAAATTGTGGTGAAAGGTTTGGTGCTGTATGGAGCTTATGAAACTGACCAAACTTGCACGATGTGGCTGCGTTCACCAAAGCCTAATGTCATAAATATAATTTTCTTCTTCAACAATTGGTAACTTACCCTTCAAACTATGCATTTTGGCAATCTCATACAACCAAATTGAGTACATGCTACCAATTCATATCTTACCCAAGTATTTCCATATTTTCCATGCTATAAAGAACAATGAGTATAGACTGTAGAGAGATATGGAGTAAACGGATACTACACTTTGTAAAAATACACTTTATAAAAATGTGCAAGTAGTAGTTAGTATTGCTGTAAATCATATTGCTTGGGTATTGATTGAACTATTGTTGTTTTGTAAAGGAGAGGACTTCGTAGAAGGTGACTTCTAGTTTTAAAGTGGCCAACCAACTCGTGTACTCAAGGTACGTACAAGAATACGAAAAATCTTGACTTTAGGAGCATGTTTAAGGACTTGGAAAAACTTAGAATCATGCTAGGGAACTTGTAGATTGGTTGAAATTGTTTGGTAGTGAGTTTGATTGATGATTGGTTTGATTTATGTATGAGAAATTCGTATTGATTTTCCTTGTAAGTATTATTTATGCAATAATTTGCAAGATGAGCTTAGAGGCAAAGGTACAAGGATATATGGAATGAATTATTACTATTCACTAATATTGAAATGGAATGAGTAAAGGAAGAATTAAAGTCTTATAAGACAAGGTCGAGGATTTGAGGTGCCTTATGCACTTAAGGTGTTTATACACCGAGGTAGTTAAAGGATTCAATAATAAGTATTGTTTGTCACTAATAAATCAAGAATTGAATTGGAAACTTGAATTGCTTGAGTGATGATTGTTTAATTGCTTGTATTATTTTGCATTAGAGTCATCACCAAGTTTAAACCGGTAAATCACGTAAAGTGCAAGAAGGATGAGCAATAAAACTCTGGATTTGTGCACATCTAGAGTAATGACAAACAGGGGTTGGGGTTCACGGGGTATTAGCCGTGTAAGAGGTCGCTGATCTACGAGTCTCTTGTTTTCAAATACTTTTAAAATTATAATGAGTTAGATGAGATCTCATACTAGCTATGGCCACGGAGTCGCGCCCGTCTGCCATTGGATGTTTATTAATGTCTCCGAAAGGAGGCGTAGGGTTTTCTTTATTAATGTTCCGAAATGGTGCATAGGGGGACAACCCGGTCTATTGCTTAATCCAATCAATTAATGAAATAATCAATGCTATTTAGGGAAATCTTAGTAATGCTAACATTTGAGTCATGTGTTCGAGTCAATGATTACATTGTGTGTGTGCAGAATGATTTTTAGTAACATGCTAGGGCTCTTTACCACATTCGTAGCTTGTATGTACTCAGCGTTGCTGATTGCGTGCTTTTGTGTGTCTTTTTCTTGGTCATGGCCTTCGCCCTTCAATGACCCTATAATGATCCAATTTTTACACTTGTAATATTGGGGAGCAGATTAATCACAGGTTTTTACATAATCAGAACTTGCATCAAGGTGATGGGATTTTGAGTGGAGCGTTGGTTAATCTCATAGTTTATTTCATTTCATTTCATAAGTTGATTTTATTTTGACTCTAATTTTTATTCACTTACTATTTGATTTGGTTTTGATTAATGGCCGTAATGGTTCCAACTTGTAAGACTAAATTTAGTTTTGATTATTAGTTTTAAACTTATTTTTAACTAAGTTAGTTTTCCGCTTCTAATTTCTGATCTAGCCTTAACGTTTGAACACGTGGCGGTAGCACGTCAGTAATTCTCTTGCAGCTTGTTAAAAGTATTTACAGGTTTTAAAGAGAGAATTATTGGGGTGTTACATATATCTTTATAATTTGCTTACATTTATTAAATTTTTCACTTAAATTCACTATCTACTTTTTAGATCAATCATCCAAATCCCTAATTTCTATCGTTAATCTCTTCTTATATACCAAATTCTACTCAAAATTAAGCTATTGGAGTGCAAAATTTGGGGCAATTTCACTCAAATTGAAGATTTCTACGCCAATTTCTACCAAATTACAAGCAATTTCTTCCTCAGTGTAGTCTAATGGCGGTCTTGGAACCTGCGGAGCAGGACACCATGTCTCCGCCGAAGAAGAAACAGCTTTCTGAATATGATAAAAGGTTCAATTCAATTATTTCAGCTATTTTTGTTCGTTTGCAATTTTTCAGATTTAATTGCTTTATTTTGTGAAGAATTTCTCATAAATTTTGTTTTTGATTTTCAGAAGGAAGAAGAATCTTGTGCCTGGAGGATTGTTGAAGGCTGAATTGAGACCTGGTGGAGGAGAATCTACACCTTCTGATGGTGATCAGGTTTTTAGTTAGTAATTTTTCATAATTACATCATATTTTGATAATTGATTTTGATGAAATAATTTGTATCACATAATTATTGTTTAGTAAACTATTTCTTATTACATAAAAAAAAATTCTTATTATGATTTTGATGAAATTGTTTGTATCACATAATTAGGTAATCTACCATTGCACTGTGCGTACAATGGAAGGAGTTGGTGTTTACTCTACCAGAAAAGATTTTGGAGGTGCGTATAACCTTTCATTTTTCACTCGTCTTAACTCGAATATAATGTTGTTTTGGGGTGTATTTAGAGTCGCAAAGGGCAGTGGTGTAGAGAATGTGGACGGGATACGATATGAAGTCTTGAGTATTGCCCTCCGAGACTAACTAATGTTGTTATATATATTGTTGAATCCTGTTGCTTGGACCAATCGATCATAATGGATGTCAGTGTTCTTCCTTATTTTGATCACTGAATATAGAAGCTGTAGTAATTAATAGTTACATTGTTGGTTGCTATAATTATCTTTCACCTTATATCCGTATCTTCCACTAACGATGAAAGCATTGTACTTCAGTGACTAACAAGAGTAACACTGAAAGCATTGTACTTCAGTCATTCTCTTTAATGACTATTCCTTGTTGTGATCAAATGATCTTATTAATCTTTTTCTCGTCACTTATCACGGGAATGTTATGATTAGTGAAACTTCCTTTAATTTGTGCATGTAAGTCTCCAATCTTTGGTCAAATTGTCGTGAGGCAACTTATTAAAAATGAGCAACAATTTGTTTCTTCCTGTTAGCCTGCTTTTGTGTCTGCCACTTTTCTGTTGCATCTCAGTGTTTCTTCTCCTTGACTCTACGAGGTTGAAAAATGCTATATTGACGAAGGAAGAAAAAAGAAAGTGCAAGAAAGATATGACATCCTCTAAGTGAAACAAAGACTGGAAAAGGGTGTCCTTGGAAAATGGAAAGTGTTATATCCAAAGTCCCTTCGCCCAAAGTGGCTCCAAGAATGTCTCTTACTCCTCCGCAAATTAGAAATAGCTTCTAGATACTAGAATATTCTAGATTCATCCAACTGCAACAAATATTGGCTAGTACAGTGTCATGTGCAGCAACCAGAAGTTGCTATCTAGATTTCTGTCTTTTCATTGGTCTCTTTTTATGCTTTTCTGAGATTATTTTTGTCATCATCTGTAGGAAAGGAATTTGTTGTTTGAGTCTCTATTCTCTAGTGATACATCCTAGATGGCTATTTGGTTCTTGATAATTTTTGTGCGTAGAACTTTTGGTTGTGATTTTCTAAATCTCAACTAATTACAATGGATTTTGATTCGGTGCTGATATTATTCATCTATAGTTCTTGCAGAATTTTCTTTTAGCTATCATATATGGTCTTTGGTGACTTGATATTTGATGCTTTTTGAAAAGTTAAATTTACACCTTGATGCCATATATATTATTATTTTCTCTGCTCTTAGCAGGTACGGGAGCGCCTATAAGGCAAGTTTTGGGTAAAAGCAAGATGATACTGGGATTGCTTGAAGGAATACCTACAATGCAGAAGGGTGAAGTTTGCATGGTAATATTCTGTTAGTGCTACAGACCAATTGCATTGTAAGCTGTTTATACAATATCAACTTAATATATAAACATATAATGTTCTAGCCAATATTAACAGCAATAAAGGAAAGTCCAATTTGTGGATATTCTCATCTTTGGGAGGGGGTGTTGGGGAAAATAACACAGAAAAGCAAAGAAAGATGTGGTTTCAGATTGTAAGGACATATATGCCTGCTGCAAAGAGATGCGTTAGCTATAGGTGTTGAGGGTTCAGGATTTCTTCTTGTATCTTCCAAAATTGTGTGGATGTGTATCATTTGATCATGTGAACTTTCCTTGTGATACTATATAGGTACTGTATTTTGACAATAAGCCAATGTCTCAAGTTGTTTTTATATGTTAGACATGGGACTTCCAAAGTGATAGGTCCTTTATTGACGCACCTTAGAGTTGGCTATTGGTTATTGGTGCTGAGTGCTGACTCGTAGATGATCTCTGCTTGCATCACAAAGTAATGAAAAATAATAATCCATATCTAAGGAAGATGCTGGCCTGCTGTTTCTGCTTCTGTATTGTGCATGCATTTTGATGATTTATAGGTTCTGAAATTCCTTCTTTGGGTTTATCATTCTGCTATTATGATTTGTATGCAGTTCAGGATGAAATCTGGGATGCATTATGGTGAGCCTGATTGCCCAGTTCCAGTCTCAGAGGGCTTCCCAAAGGATGTTGATCTCAACTTTGAGATTGAACTCGTTGATTTTGGCAAAGCTAAGGTAAGATTTATTTTTCCCTAAATGTTGTATGTTGATATGATAACACTATAATGTCTACTTTGTGGTGACAAATTTTGGAAAGGAAATTACTGACAATTGTGACAAACAATATTTATAATAAGACAAGAATGAGATTATTTACATTTTGTGAGGTAACATTGAAGATCATATAAATCATATTTTGTCCTTTTTGATTTCAAGTACCTTGTGATGTTTAAGTGCCTATAAAATATTCAGGCATGAAGTTTAGCTTCTGTTGTATAAAAATTTCAGTTATTCTTACAACATCAAACTTGTTTAATTTTCAGTTATTTCTGAAGATCTTGGAGTTGTGAAAAAGGTATGAAAATGATCACAATCTTGTATGGCATATAAATTCCATTTTTCTTATCATAGTGTAATGAACTGAAACTCTTGTCTGGCAAAGGTTTTTAGATTCTCTTCTATAGTGTAATAAACTGAAATTTTGGGCATAAATTAGAGGGAGATGAACTTGATTGATAATATGAGAATTACAGAAGATATAATTGATATTGAGCTTTTGAGAGTCTCTCTTTGAAACTAAAATGAACACTTGATAAAATTCTTCATCATTTATGTCTTCCTAATTTCCTCTGATAATAGATTAACTGATCTTCCTCTTTTTGTTGCTCAAGCTACTTTTAATCGAATTGTAAAGCAATTCCTAATTTGTCCATCCCCTATCCCCAATGCATTACACATAGCAAACTTGTCGTAAAACTGAGAATATAATATTCTAGAGACGTGTTCTAGGAGAAAAAGAAAGTATGAAAAGGTTTCACAGTGCAGAATGGTTGTCTTATTTATTTTGACTCATGATTTTGGATTGTTAATACAGTCTGCAATAGAATTACTTGTTCAGATTCTGGTTTCCTCTGATCCTTGTCTGGTCTGAGTGTTTTGATAGGTATACATATGTATAAATTATACCGGCAGGTAACCTGTGGTATATGTGATTGAGTGATGCTCTTCGATATAATAAGTGTCGAGAAGTTAAACCAGTTGACAGAGCCACATATCATTTTCTCTTCTTTTAGCATGATACACAGTGGCGGACCCACGTGTAGTCATAGTGGGTCCCAGGACAACCTATTATTTTATTTTAAAAAAAAAAAAAAAACTAATTTTTTTTCACGAATCACGCTTTCCTCTCTCTGTACTCCTTTATATCTATTTCTTGCTGTACTCCTTCCTCTCTCTCTCCTCCATTTAAGCGTACTCGAAATTCTCCATTGAAGGGGCTTCTGAGCTTTCTCTCCTCCATTGAAGCAGTCTCTAAGGTTAGATGCTTCTTTTTCTTTAATCATCTAATATTAATTTTGACAATCTAGTGTTAATCGTGTATTTAATTGTCAGTATATTCTCAATTTAGGGTTCTTCGAAGTTGGATAATTGAACTATTGGTTATAGATAGTCGAAGAATTGAACGTAATTTTTGGAGTCTAGTTTGATAATTGAGTCAATTTTGGTTGCTAATTTGTGAATTGTAGTTTATTTATTTTATTTTACAGGGAAAACACAAATTCACAAATTCCGAGGGGTGGGGGAATGGTTTCAGGGGTAGGGGTTTTGAGTTTATGGCGGTTTCGGGTCAGGGAAAGGGGTGGGGGTTTCGGGTGGGGAAAGGGATGGGAGTTTAGGGTGGTTTCGGGTTGGGGAATTCAAGTTTTGGGTGGTTTCGTTGGTGGGGCTGGGGCGGGGGGTCTATTGCGCTCATGTGGCTTTGGAAGGAGGGTGGTTTCGGTGGTGGTGCAGGCAGAGGCGGACCCACATGTAGTGGCCATTACTCTAGCCTAACAGAGTGAAGCTAGGAATTGTGAAAATGTTTGATGAGCAAGATTTAGTGGCCTAATCTTTTCACCTTTTCTCATTCACCAGCGATTATATTAGACGGTAGAATTGCTCGACTTGGGGACCTTTGTTTTAATAACCTTGAAAGAACCCTTGTATGATTTAGATTTGATTAGGAATTCCTTTTGTTCCTTTCCTCATAACTTGAGTTTCCCGTTGCACTCACTGGGTTATGTAACTCATGTTGGATGAACTTGTAAAATGAAAATGTTAGTGAAATAAACAAATGAACTTATGAGAAGTTTAGTGTTGTGGTATATCTGGTATATCTCATCTGACTGCCTTCTTTGTAGAAGCAGGGTCCAGAAACATACCCATTTAAGACCTGAATATTAAGTAGCTCTTAATTGAGATAGTTGCAGGTGTGCTTTTGCTAGGAGTCTTATTGTAGAAGAAGCTCGATCAGAACCTAGCTTTATTTATGGTAAGAAGTTTCTAGTCTCTGATTGGATATGTAGGAGGGCAATGTTTACTTTAGCCCTGTACGATTACTTGAGAAAAAATAACTTAATGTTATTTTTTCTGGTTTAATTTGAGATGAACGCTCTAGAGATTTGAAGATATTAAGAAATAGAGTGGCATTTGTGTGAGGCCATGGGCACTAAGAAAGGCAAATTAATAACAATGTAGTGCCCGCTGAGTTCCTACTTTTGAGAAACTCACTAGCATTGACTCATTTCTAGAGCATCCTTTATTACTTAGATTGGATTATTTTTCTGAGTTTTTGATTGTAAGTTGACATGAACTATAGCTTGCTGAATTGAGCTTCCTAATTAACTTATGAGCAGTCCTAGCATAAGATGTGTGTAAAGGTGTTATTTTTATAGTTAATGGGTAGTTGATCAAGGATTGGTGACTGTTGATGATTGAATAGGGCCAATAGGGGTGAACTTTGTCTTGGTAGCATTGTTCAATGACTTATGCACAATTCTCCTGTGACTGTATGGGAGTGTCTTATAGAGTTTATTTATATTACTTTAGTTTAAATGGTAATGCTTGCCATCCATAGAAAATGATGTTTATAGATATGAATGCTTCTGACATTCTGAGCTTTGAGGTAGAATATTTGCTGGTAACTTGGTGTTTTAAAGCAAGAGATTTGTTTGAACAAACATTGACTAATTGTCATGAGACCATGTATACCGTACAAGGGAAGTAGATTTGCATTGACATAGACCCCAAAAAAGGTGTATTTAAGTTTGTGTTGATTGTTGAACATTTAGGTTGAGATCTTTCAGGGATTTAGTTTAGAGTTCAAGTTTTGTATAGTACAAGGTCGATGGACGACGATACAAGCTTTAACTATTATACAAGCTTTGACTATTTTTTGATATTATATGCGGTCGATGGACGATGATGGGACAACCTATTAATCAAATCCTGGATCCGCCACTGTGTATGACAATGGTCCGCCTAAGACTACGTTAACACATACGATAGAAACTTTACCTACTTAAATCTTAATTATAAATGTGTACGAATAAATCGATGAACTATACAAACTTGGTTGTTATTTGTTAAATAAACGTTTATTAAAAAAGTTTTAGGACTAACTGACAACTAGCTAGAGCTTAGCCAGTCATACTGCCGTTTTAATCTTATTTTACCCAATTGATTTGAGTACATCACTATTCACTACATCATCATTGCAATAAACATTTCAAAATTAATTTACAAATTACTCCATCAATTTCAAAATTTGGATTTATTTGCTTTTTATAAAAAAAAAAAAAATTAAATATTAAAGGATAATTCATCTGCGTATAACCTAATTATTATTAATTTTTACAATTTTGATATTACTAGGCTGGGAAAACAATCGCCTCTTTTCTACTCATCTCTTCTAGGGTTTCTTTAAATTCTTGGCCATTTAGGCCGGAAATAGTCAAATTTCTTTGAAAACTAGACTATTTATGACCCTTCCCCTTAATTTTCTTTAGGTTTCAATAAATCTACACGAGTAGTGTAAATATTCGTCTGTCTCCCTATGATGGAGTGTCTCCCTATAGTGGAGTCGTTAGGTTTTGTTAGTTTAGTTGTTTGTTTATATTTAGAGTTTGTTTGTGTGTTAGAGTTTATAAAAAAGGTAGTCATCTTTTGCCCTAATATCAATTCGTTGGTAAAGATTTGTTCGGGATCACAACGGTTGTCAAAGTTTCAAATGTGTTCAAGTGAATCAGGTGAAAATCATCCTTACGGCTACAACAAATTGTTAGACCATCTGTTCGGAAAAGCTGTATATTCCAGCGATGTGTGCGAGAGATGTATCTCAATGCAAGATTTATTCAACGTCGTAGCTTTGATGAAGGAAACCTTAATTTGATTCAATTTTATGTATTTGTTCATTTAGATTTCATTTGTAAATGTCATCGTATGGCTTTTTATTAATGAATTGTTTTGTTTTAAAAAAGAATATATATATATGTCGGGGAGCTAACATGTTGGCTATGTCTGAGGAGCTCTTTTGGCTTGGTCATTTGCTACAAGTTTTGTTGTTGGCAATTAATTAATGAGGGCAAATATGTAAACAAATATTTCGTATTATTAAGAGCATAAATGTTTTCACACTATTTATAAGAGTTATAAAAAAAAACATCAATGAGGGCAAATAAGTAGATAAATATGGTCATGCGACTAGTCTTATTAGAATCGATGGGGTAGCTAGAATGCTAGATTAGATTAAAATACGTATAGACCTTCATTACTTTTTTTTTTAGGTAAGATGAAAGACTATAAACAATCATCTTTAACAAAGTTAAGCAAATAATTTACCTTTACAAGTAAGCAAATGTAGTTGGTGGGACTCGAATGTGTAGCTATAAAGTCACATGGTGAGTTCCCACCAATCCCTCCAAGCACGTTGTTGTTAGAGTCACTTTTCTACGGAATACTATTATGTATTAAAAAAGTACACTAATTAAAATAAAAAAAATGAGTGGCTCATATAACCGTGATTTGGTAGGCTATTCGTAACAAACTTGGGATTCCATCAAATGGCCACGAAATTGTTGCATGCTTAAATTCTCCAGCTTAATTATGACGCAGTAATTTCATGAAATAATTATGGCTAATCACAATTGTCAACCCTTATCAATGCATCATTGTAGTCTATAGATATAATATAACAAGTGGAGCGTTATTTCAATGGTCCTTATATTATATACATCACCCTAGGATTATATATAAAAACAAGGTGTACTAACACTCCAAAATTGATCATTATATATAACGATTACCCATCTTTTTGACGATAATTAAATGCATGATTATATATATATACTGCATGCTTAAATCCGAATCTTAAACCCCAAATTTCCAAACTCAAAAATCTATTTCTTCAAATTAATAATGGATCGACAATTTAGTGGTAGAAAATCACTTTCATGTTTGTTAGATGATGATAATATAGAAGATCAGTCACCTAGTTTTCATCACCTTTCTCAACTACAAAATCGAAGGCTTTCTTGTTATACTCACTTCCCCTTAGATGCCTCACCTTTGCACCCTCTAAGCCGCCTCGACAAATCATTATGGACTCGTACGTCTTTTACAAGTTCTTCTCATCCTTCTCTTCTCTATTGTTGCATCTCTTCTCTTCGCCATGATGGAGATCTCTACTCCATCGCGGTATCAGGGGACATAGTGATGACTGGCTCAAATAGTCGTCGAGTCCATGCATGGCAGTCAGGTGACTGCCATGCAATAGGCTACTTACAAGCTAGCTCGGGTGAAGTCCGAGCCATGGTTGCTCAAGGTAACATGCTCTTCACATCTCATAAGGATCACAAAATTAGGGTATGGTCCATGAGATCACACACTTGTAACAATAATACAACAAATAACTTTAAGCCTAGAAAAGTTACAACCTTACCAAACACCAACCACTTCAAAAATTTTGTCTTAAGGCCAACTGTCCCACAAAATAGGCTCACTTGTAAGCCAATTACCCCACAACATAAGGACATTATTTCTTGCATGGCTTATTACCATATTGAAGGAATTTTGTATACTGGGTCATTTGATAAAACTGTTAAAGCTTGGAAATTAAATGAGAGAAAATGTACCGACTCATTTATAGCTCATTCAGATAATATAAATGATATGGTAATTAACCAACAAAATGGCTATCTTTTTACTTGTTCTTCAGATGGGACAGTAAAAATGTGGTTAAGGGTGTATGGGGAGACTTCTCATGCTCTAATTAAGGTCCTTAGTTTTCATGCATACCCTATTTATGCTTTGGCTTTGAGTAATCAAAACCAAAGTAGTAGCTTCTTGTATTCAGGATCTTTTGATGGGTGTATTAATTTTTGGGAGCAAGAGGTTTCTTGTCAATATAATCAAGGCAACAGGTTCTTACAAGGGCATCAGTTTGCGGTTCTTTGCCTTGTGGCCATTGAGAATTTTGTGATAAGTGGATCTGAGGACGCGACAATTAGGATTTGGAGGAGGTCGTTGGAAGACAGAAAAGCAGGGTGTGCTCATGAGTGTCTCACCGTACTAGAAGGTCATAGAGGGCCGGTGAGATGCTTGTCTGCTTTTTTGCAGAAGGACAAATTTGTGGTGAGCTTTTTGGTGTTTAGTGCTAGTTTAGATCAGACTTTTAAGGTGTGGAGAGTTAAGCTTTTGCAGGAAATGAAGAGTTCTTCGGGTGATGGAGAAGATGATATGGAAAGAAAAAAGTCTGTGGAGATTGAAAATGGCCCTGTGCTGTCTCCTTCATGGGTGAAGAGGAAGCTTCAATCTCGCAGTGTTAACTCAGTTTAATCATGAGTTTATTGCGATGTTAGTTATATAATTTAGAAGCACATTGTATGTTAAGATTGTTACATATTATAAAGGTAATTTTATCATTCATGAATTCATTCATCATCCAGCTGCAATGTATATGATGCATAATTGCATACGACGAACAAGCTTGTTCCAGTCCCTGGCATGGACCAGACCAACAACGAGTCCTGTTGAAGGCCAGACTCGAACAAACTTGGCTAAGTGGTTGAACCACCCAAAGCCTGGCTTGTTCGAGTTCCATGGCAACTAAAATCAACATATTATATCATAAAGTAGTCAGAGTACTCCATCTTAATCTCTTCTGTTCTGAAAATTGTGTTAGTTGTACATGGTTAAAATCTTTCTATGATCAATGTTATGAACTAATTCTATTGGTATGAAAATGTGTATTGTTTTATTCCAATTAGCCTCTCTAAAATACTAGTACTGCACAGTATTGTATTATCTAACCTGCAATGTACATATCTGTTTACCCGCCAACCAATCAATGAGGTAAAGAATGAAAACCTGTCAAAAAATTGTACTATGATTCGCACCTATTTTTGTTCTGTAACATCACCAAAGCCTGGGGGAGAGAAGGGTGGGGTTGCTTGAAAGTTCTTCATCCAGTTTCCTCCAGGATCTTGTGTGTTCTTTGTAGATTTGAAGTCAATCTGTTTCAAAAACGTTTTTCCTACATCAAACATCTCTGCAGGAGCCATTGCTTCTGTTAAGAGCATCCTATGCTGATACGATCACATCTACATCGTTGAAGCCTGGTGGAGAAAAAGGTGGGATTGCTTGAAAGCTATCATGTCCACCAGTTTCTTCCAGGAGTCTTCGTGCGGTTTCTGTGATATTGATATCAAGCTCCCTTAAATACATTTTTTTTACGTCGACATTGTCTAGAGAATCATTGCTTCTCTTGGATGGAGCGGTCAGTGCTGACTCAATAACAGAAGCAAAGACCCCGGATTCCCTTAATCCCTGAATTATGTCCTGCCAAAACATTTACTTTCTTAAGTAACAATGACCTAAAGATTAAAAGATTATCCCTGATTACAATGTGTTACGGAGATATTTCTTTGAGAATATTGGACTCACCATAGGAGCATAAATGCGAACAAAAATGCCATACTTCAGAAGTTTGAGTTTCGCTGCTACATCATTCCACACTACATGTTCCTGGTACCTACATCGGGAATAAATAATTCACAAGATTAATACTTCGTAGTTAGATTTTTTTTATAAAAAATGTTATGCAACCTATTAATATATTGCAGTTTGAATTCTCACCATTGGAGCATTTCTTCTTCAGTGGCAGTGGAGGCAATAATAAATGCCTACAATATGGGAGTTACCTTTGTCAGACATCATTAAATTAAAGGCACATCAAAATAAGAGCAAGATTAGAGGAAAATTATGAAAGGCACTATTTAGCTTACTGATCTATCAAATTCCAACATGAAGCATCTTTTCAAGTCCTCCTTTGTAGGCTTGCAACCACACCTATCACGCCTTGAGGTCAAGTCGGAGAATTTAGAGTAAGTGTAGTGCAAAACTGCAGCCTCCTCCATTTTCACCTCTCTGCAACATTTGTCAGAAGCTTAATTATATTAATTTTCGACCATATTGATTATTTAACAGTATACTTTGACCAAGTATCCATTAAACAGAACAAAAATACATCGAAGAAACAGCAGTATAATAAAGCATACTTTGGTGTTTTATCGTAGTTATGCCATCGATGAGCTCCATTGGGGCGAAGGTGATCTTGAATTCTTGCAGCTGCTTTTCCATTTCCGTAAGTCAGAAAATAATTTGGGTTACTCCGAGTTGCTTCCTTGTAGAATCTAAAGTAAGTTTCCTTTGGAAGATGATCAAAGTTCTTTTTGAACAATGAAATCTGAATCAAATGTCAGAGAAATGTTATTGGCAGAAGGAATGAATTCTAAAGGAGAAATATAATTAATCTTAGCAGCTGAAGGTTAAGCATAAATAAACACCCACTTTTTAATATTATGAAGTGAGAATACAACACAATAAAAGCTAAAAGCTCTATTATTAATGAGTACTAAAACAAGTATGCACATCTTCATCCATAAATTTTACCTCACTGAAAGGTTCTTTAATGTCATCTCGTTCAACAGAGCTTTCCTGAAATTCAAAAGCAAAGGGACAATGAATGATCAAGCTAAGTAAACAAGCAAACATGGCAGGGGCCATAATAACAAATGCTATTGAACAGAACTTAATTGTCATTACAACTAATTGACATTTTGACAAATCACTCACATAATTCGGAAAAATAACCATGTCAACGTCTGCTGGAACTTCAGTCAGTAACTCACTCACAGAGTAACCTTGTGTTCCAGCAGGATGCAGGAGCTCATCAGTGTCAAGATGGAAAATCCACTCCATGCCAGCATCCTAGATAAGATCAAACCACAAGGCAAAGCGAGAAGTTAGAGATCAGATAATGATATAAGAACATCAAACAACTGCACACCGTATAAGAGTTAAATAATTTAATGGTTGATAAGTTGATGAATCATACTCTTGCTAAGCCAATAGCCATTTCCATGTTGAGGGTTTGCTTCACGAACAGCTCATTGTTGCATGGTTTGTAGAAAAAGCTTGAAAGCCATGACTCACTCCATATTCGACTGACAATCAATAGAAGCAATGTAAGTGTGTGCATTTTTCGTACTCAGTACAAAACTATGAAGTATAAGCATTAATAATTTCACATTTGGTTTATAATGACTGTTACTAGGACTTCATTTCAGTTAAAGTACTATGACATGACAAACCAGCATCGCTATGGACACTTGACACCTCATATTTTGGACCAAAATCATGGAAATTTCTCTAAAAGATAGCCGAATTAGGACTTGGGCACATACTCATGTCTGTCATGAGTACAGAAGTCTGAGTAACATAGTATTGAACTGCTCAACATGAGGAGAAAGAAGGAAGCATAAAGAGCAAACACTTTGGTCTTCCAATCAACGCCAACTACACTTCAGAAGTAAAAATTTGTAACATCCAAGGATCAAGCAGCAGTATTTACAAAACTGATTACAAACAAAAACTAACCTCTTAGCCTGTTGTTCCTCTAATTTTTTTGTTCTGTAGATCACCTGTACCCCCTGTGAGAGCATCGGATATAACATCAGACTGTAATCCGGCAACAGAGAGATCAATTTATGTTACAGGTTAGGAAGCTACTTTTGGCCCTAGGTAAGATAAGTAAACTTACAGGAATAAACTCAAGGACTCTAGATACGTTGGTGCTCGCAGCCTCCCCTTCCACAAAGAGGATAAAGTTTGTGATGCCGACAACCTTATGATAAAAGATCCATGGTAGCACTTGTTCTAGGCCAGCTGAAGTAGTTGACGTAATACATGCCTAATGTAATACAGAGAAATCACTTAGACATGCTGCATTTCTTTTATAGTACTTAGATACACTACATCATTGTAGATAATTAAGATAAATAACACAGTTTTTACCAATATCCAGTTACATAATTCAGGAATTGAAATATTGAATGGATGATTAATAGTCAAAAAATGATCAAATCAACATCATATAGAAGAAAAAAAAAAAAAAAAAAAAAAACAACCAACACTCAGTAGAAGCTATAGTAGAGCTTCAACTAGGCTTCACATCATCACATGTGCTATTGGCTATCGCACATATGTGACACGTTACACCCCTTTATAAGGTTAAGAAGCAAGTACACAAACACATCAAGGTGATAACACACTTTAGAATAATCCCTAATTCAGTACTTTTACCAGAAAAACAAATATTCTTAAGGGAGATGTGATTTGTAACTCATTAGTCTTTTTTTAGGGTGACTAGCAGCCAACTTAAAATAGTGGTTGAGTTGTTACATTATTTATTTGTTCATCCTCATATTCAAATTTAGAATCATTCAAAATCATATTACAGAAATAAGCAGTAAGTACAGAACCAAATAAATATATGTTTAAACATGAATTATAAGATTACTAACATTTCCCTATCAATCATTTTCTATCAATTTTTATCTAAGAATCCCAAGAAGAACTTCACACTTAATATACTTTCTTTCTTTTTTTTTTTTTTTTTAACATTCACAATACTCTCTTCCTATTTCTATGACTTTCGAAATTATTTACTCTTCATTTAACCACTAATCTTTAATTGACTTGGATAAACCAGAGTCGTCATGAAATTAAATATGGGATGGAAGGAGTAATATTATACTATACAAGGAAGAAATTCTAAAATAACAATAATTCGGCATTCATGTGATGAAAAATAAACCCTAAATCTCCAATAATTATTAAATTTACAGTAGCCTGTTAACATATATAATATTTATATTTTCGAGATTAAAAGTCAGCAATTAACAACTCATTTCTGACAATAGACAATCTCAATTCGATAATTAATTACTAAAAGAAGAACAAGCATGCAGATTATTATGATTTCACGCATGTTTTAATCGATCTACGATTGAACAAGATTGTAATTATCAATTATTAACAAATTCAGTACAGAAAAATTATTAAAACATTGTAAAAATAGAAAATTTGATCCAGAAATCAGAGATATTAGCCAATAATTAAGCAAGATTCAATAAACCCTGATAAAAAAGCAAGATCAATACACCCAAAAATGAAAAACACCCAATTTTAACAAAATTCATTAACCAAAATGATTAAAACTCGGGGTTTAAGAATAAAAAATTAAATAACAAAGATTAAATTTTTTTTTTAAAATTGAAAAACCCCAAAAAATAAATAAAAAATGGGAAGATTAATCAAAATCATACAAAACGAAATGAATTTCAACGAAATTATGTATAAATACTAACCTTGGGACTAATAGTAGAATCATTATAATTAAAATTCCAGCCTCTGAAATAAGGAAAAACAGGGGAATTGGTTTGACCCGATGCATTATTGGAGCAATTATTATTATCATCAAAAGATGATGATTTGATAAAAGGGGAATCAAGCATTCCAGGAAACTCTTTGGTATGATCAAAGGACCACCAAGTAATCGGGTCGATACCGCTGCCTCGCCATTGAAGGAAGAAGGCAAACAGAGCAAGAAACAGAGGAAGGAAAGTAAGGAAGAAGATGAGTTTATAAAGAAAGTGTTGTTGAGATGAATAACAAGAAGAAAGAATTGTGGAAGAAAATGATGAATTTCTTCTTAAAGATTGGTAAAAACCCGCCATTTTTGGAGGGTTTTTGAAGATCATGAACAAGTGTTACGCCATTAGTAGAAGAAATTAAAAGAATGAGAGAGAAAATTTGGGATTTAAAGGAGGGAAACGTATATATAAATGAATAGTATAGCCGTTTTGTCGTTGGGATTTATATTTATATGGAGTAATATAGTTTATATTATCTGACTATGAAAAGGGATAAAAGCATTATCTTTGACATGGAAAAATGACTAACACCTAAATCAAATGTTTTTCTTGTAAGCTTAATGGTGAAGGACCATAGCACTTCTATCGATGACATAAAATATAAGTGTTCGGTAAAATTAGTTGTTGCACTAGTATTTAAAACATCATATTCGTATTGGTATATGCGTATATGATATGATAGCATGTCTGCACGTGTAAAAGATCATTACTTTCGTGAGTGTAGTTTACCTCGCCAACAAAAGCATCATTCTAAATGCTTTTGATTACATTGAACAATTTATGTCATTCATTTAGATTCATAGAAAGAATATTTCAATATCTTAAGTTTGAATGCAAATTGAATTTTCCCTTATTAGTAATGATATTGTGAGTAATACTCCATAAATTATTTTTAATAATACAAAATATACCAAATAAAGCCAATCATTAATTACTACACATGATAATGACTAATTAATACAAATTTGGTCAAACGATGAAAAATGTTAAACAAGCTTGATACACTAAAATTAATGTAACCTGTCCTTAATATAAGGTATAGCAATTAAGATACATACACTAATCTATAAACTAATGTGAACTTTTATATTAAATTATTAAATAAAATGAATAAAAGTAAGAAGTAAGCAACAAAATAATTTTTCCAGGTGTCAATTTAGGAATGTTAATGCATATTCATCGGCTTCGATTGTGACAATATATTCTATGCTTTTCATGTCCTTTATGATTCGTAACTTACTGTATAATAATCATGTGGCAGATTTTATAATTAATAATTATAATCTTTAATTAAAGTCTTACACGTAGCAATAATATAAGTGGTTAATCAATGTTTTAGCGTACTTAGCTTTCATTTGTACATGTGCCATGTAACATTTTTTTTCTTGTCCTTTTCTTTGTTTTCCTATTTTTCCTAAATCTCTTTGGAAATGATCCAGTCTTTTTCTTTTCTTTTCCTTTCTTTTCAATTCCTTTTGGCCTTTTGGGGTTGGGGGTGAAGGAAGTGTTTGGTGGAGGAACTATAGCTTACCACAATATAGTACTTTCTATTTTGTGAGATAAAAGAGCATGTTAAAAGTTGCCCTCATTGACTCATTGTTGCACATATTACTGGTAGTACTTTTAGTTATTGGCAAAAATATATCTCGAGTCGGGCCTCTTATGGAGTACCTTGAGTCGTTGAGAGAAGGGTAAGGAAATCTTGCCTCAATGAGTCTTAATGAAACTTGAGCCACAAAGATGTATGTGAAACTCGATCCCTAACAAAAGACATAGTTTTGTTTTCCTCGGTCCAAAATTAGTCGTCACTTTAGTTTCAGCATCTCATACCTAAGAAATAAGACATCTTTTTTTCACTTGTATAAATAAATACAATTAATATTCCATAATCAGCTACAGTTGTAGACTTGAAGTATAGGGGATTAGGAGTAACTTAGAGCTCGTTCGCTATCATCTTTTGTTTTTTCATATATCAGATTTTTGAAAATTAAACACAACCATTTAAAAGCAAGAGTAGTTATCAATCTTATCACTAGTTTATGTATGCTTCATTTCAAGTTCATTTTACAAATAATAGCATGACTTGAATAATATACAAACCAAATACTGAAAAATGACAATGTTACCGAATGAGCAATTAGCTTTCTAATTTCATAAAGCTCTGTCAATCTTTGCATTTTCACAAAAATATATTATATACTATTGTTAATTGGCGAACATCAGGCAAAATTTTAAGCCTCACGCTTGTGTTGTGAGTATGAGCTGCCTATATTTACGCATTGTAAATTCACACTGTAATGCAGGAAACGAGAAATACATAACTGAAACAACAGATTTCCTGCATTTTCTGCTATATAGTTTGAAAAGGCAGATAATGTGGTAATTAAATCAAGAGAATATCTTATTAATTCAGAAAAGCTTAGCATAAGCCTGAAATAAAAAGAAGTGATGCACAATTTTAAATTATAGTGGCAGAACCACTTAACAAGTTAACAAGCATACACAAATCCATTGCTTTAATCTTATTTAGATGAAATGATAGTCAATTCCTGAAATTAATGATGTCTTAATCTGGAATAAGCTGATAATTTTACAAAGCAAGTTAGAATATGACAGTTCCAAAGCTTGTATATATGTATGAGCAAAAGAATGTCACGAAAATATGCACACCCAAGATCCTTATACATAAGGAGGATGAATGAAGTAAGGAAAAACATAGTACCTAGTTATGGCACTGTGATTTTAAGTTAACTTGACACGAGCTATTTTTGGTAGAACCTTGAATAACTGAGGTATTATGACTTCTGGGTGGCAGATCCGCGGAGTAATTATGAAAAGCTAAAACCAGAGCTCGTAAAAGTTATCTCTTTAGCAGCCTCAAAACATCTCCTACTAGATGCAATGATCCCGTCACAAGGACCTGCCAAAGCACATAGAGATGCAAGTAAGATAACCTTTAAAAAAGAGAATCAACTATGGGCATGCATTTATGCAAACAAAAAAAACAAGGAGGAATTTTTAACGCGTGACTTAAGAAAGCTTAGAATTAGAAGATCCTGGCTAGTTTTAAAGCTAGAGCCAATGGCCTTCCAGATCCCAGGTTGGCAGGTTTTGGGATTGGATCTTCTTTGCTGGAGTAGTCGGTGCTAAGGGTTCTACTAGACCAAAAATAAAAAAGGTAACATCCCAGCATTCTCTCTAAGGACAGCACTCTTTGTTTATATCTCCAGTGACCAGCCACAATTATGTTCTCACAGTATATTTGACTATTCCTGTCTATGACAGATTCCAATTATTTGATTAAGCTATCTCTATCTCCATAGAAGCAAAATTCAGGCTCTCTACTAGTGGTAACATCCAGCCATTTCTCATGTTACAAGAGAAAGATTAACATCCCAGCATCCTCTCTGAAGAAAGCTATCACGTTCACATTGTCTATATAGCCTTCATAAACTAAATTACTGCAAGATTTAATAAGTAAAACTAATCTTTTCATATTTCAAAACCAATTAGATGACTTGTCACTCAATTATGACCACAAGCGAGGAGTAAAAGGAAAAAAGACTACTAGCCAACTTAGTTTGAGTTGCAAAGGTGTATGCCTTCAACCACCCATTGCAGATTTTAGATATTAGCATGTAAAATAAACTGTATACAGAATTGGAGTCAGGGCCTGAACCAAAGTATTTTCGGGGGACCAAAAGTTTCATTTAAGTTTATTTACAGGGACCAAATAAAAGCTATAACCTATTTTTTTTAAATGGAAAATAAATAAATAAATAGCCTTCATTTTTGTAAGAAATTTGGAAATTGTGGGGTGCTGACTGTCGAGGCTCCCGGCAATCCCCCTATGTTCCGCCTATGACTGGAGTAATGTTAAGCCGCCTCAGAACTTCAATGGGTTCCCCTCCCACCCCCCCCCCCCCCCCCCCCCCCCACCACCAAAATCCACCCGCCCAATAAACCCATACGAAAAAACTACGTAAAAATACAATTTCTTATTATAAAGTCAGAGATTATTTTACTCTGACTCGATTACTCAGTTAATCCAGGAGCACATACAAGGTTAAACTTGAGTAATTTATGAGACATTCCCATAAATTTGGTCGGAAATGAAGAGCAACTGTCCAAACCATGTACAAGTGCCGGAGCTATGACATAGGTACTTTATGTGAAATGAAGATTCTGAGTCACATAGTCAAGAAGAAAAAAAAAAAAAAAAAAAAGCTAAATGAGTAGGTTGGAATAGATACATAGGCCATGATGAGGCTATTAAGTAACAATAAGAAAAAGATGACACCACAAGAGTGAGATGCAATTTGAGTGAGTTCTCCAGTAATTACCATTGATAAAATCAATTCCTCTCAAGCAACATGAGAGAATGGTCACGTATAAATGCAGCATACAGCCAAATACAAGTTTATTAGCACTAATTATAATCTGCACTCCATTGTTGTGTTAGATTCAGTATGGTCCTTAATTCTCAAGGGTTTCAGACTCATCAAAGTAAAGCAAATGTGTATACAATACCGCTCATTCCAGGTGTTCTAAAATCCTCATAATTAGATCTTACCTGCAATCTGACAGAAGGGTTTTCCCTTGCACAATCCCTCAACAATTTAATTGCTGATGACAATGAAGGAACAACTGCACTGGCACGAGGAGAATCACCAGGAAAGACTTGATGATAATCACCATGAAGAAATACAGGTGGTGACAAGGCATCACTACTCTCATTTTTTAAGCACTCTGTGAAATTATTTCTATCTGGATCAAAATCTGTTCGAACACAAAAAAGGCACAGTTAGGGAAAAGAAGAAATTAATATTGTAATAGCATCAAAGATTGTCCAGCTCCTCACAAAATATAAAACTGTGTGAGACTGTAGTAGTTTATACTTGTATTAAGTACAGAACAAAAGCAATAATAAATCTAACAAAACATACGTGAATAGTTATATAGAATACTGATGAAATTGAGAGGACTGCAAGGCAAAGAACCTCTTTCGTAATGATAAAGAATACCTTTCCCATTAATTGTCTTCTCCCATATTCTCTGCAGATTCAATTGCCAAGACAAGTTTCTAGGTGTGTTTGAAGAAGTGATTGAAGAACCAGAAACAACTTTGTTGTATGTGGATATGGTAGGAACAAATAAGGCTCCAGAGAAATGAACACCTGAATGATCAGAGGATTCCTCAGTAAAGCCAGAATTAACTGCATCTAGTTAGATAGTATATACAGAACAGAATCATTTATTCACCAAGCAACATGAGAGACATAACCATGAAGGTGCAACATGGCTAAAAGCTACCCCAGAAGCCAGACTTCTTTGCAATCGTATGCCATGTAGTTTGAAGTGTATGCAAGGTAATAGTAGTAGCTTTGGAGATGCTGACTATAGAAAGTTTTCCATAAATGGAAGTTTATAAAGTAATTTCATATGACCTACCCTTTGGATCTGATTTGAGAAGCCATGCACAATAGTATTATAGAAGATAGAAACTATAGTCACTCAGTGAGCTATGGGAGACAAGTAACAGAAAACATGTGACCCATTTGATTCCAAAACTTTAGAAGTTACAGCAAGATAAATATAGAGTTCAAGAGGATGAGAAATTACAACAAGAAGAAGATTATGAGTTCAAAAAAAAAAAAAAAACTGCGTCATATTTGAATAACACCAACAATAGCAGTACCTGAGGAAGCACAGGTCCTAACAAGGTTTGGGAGCAGGATTTGTGGATTTCTCACCTCCATACAATTGAACAAAAGAATCTACAGAGCCATGAATGAACAGTAGATCCAACAAGTTAAAACAATGGCAAGTAATAAAAAACAGAGAGAAATCCCTTCATAGGAATCCTGAAAAATAGATAAAAACTTTAAAGCATTTTCACACCTGCTTGGAATTTTTGTCACTATTTCCCTTTTCACAATTGGTGAAACCATATTTGCTAAATGCCTCTCCAAAATGATCCTCGGAAGATGACTTTAAGGAGGATAATGATGTTGACTTATGATCGCCAATCACAACCTTTGAGAACCATTTAGCACAGGCATCCATGCTTTCAGGACTGTGTGCCCCATCCAAATAATACACTAGGTCTCCTGTAGGTGTATTAGAGGACCTAGATATGTCATCATAGACTATCTGAGCCCTCCCAGGAAGACGTGCTGATGAAAGACCTCTCAAGAAAGCATCTGGCAGATCAGCTTCACAACCATCCTGGTTGCATCTTACATTTATAAGAAACCAAAAATATAATAGGTGAAAGATCAAACACTAAAAACTAAACATAAATATAAACTTTGCACTTTTGCAGTATACAAACCATTTATTAAAGTTTCACAAAGATATGAACAAACATACGCCTTCTTTAGTAAGTGGTTTCTGCTAGGTTTTTATAAGGTTTTGGCTTTTTCATGTGTTCAAACAGCCAAATAAATATATTTGGTAAATGACTTTCCAGTCAATACAAAAATAACTACCTGGAGTAGCTTTTTTTCTCATAGGAATTTGGCTCTTTTGCACAAGTATTGCACAAAAACAGCTACAGCTAAAATCTCAAACATCTTTACAAACTGCTAATGCTAAATTGCTAACATCTGAACGATAAAAACAGCTAATACTATCGGCAAATCAAACAAGCACGTTGAACCAGCCAACAACAGATTGCCAAACAAGGTCATAACCAATAGTAATCACTCAAAAAGTCAAAAGGTTCATCTTTAATGTAACAAAGAAAATTACCTTGGAGATAGAAAAGATTACAGAGGTTTGCAGGCAGTTTATGTAGTATACTTAAGTCAACAATAAAGACATAGTACAAGGTCAATTACTCATATCAAAGCCAAGGTTACATAATATATTTCTCTGCTGAAGTGAGAAACTGAGGACAGAAGTCAAAAATACATTGGGAGACACATCAAGGTCATTATAGTTTATTCAAGTGAAACAGTAGTACAGTACAAGATAAAAAGAGGAAAAAGTTGTCAACCTACATTGGTAAACACCTTTTTTAAGTTCCCTGTTTGTTGAAGCCAAGATTTACAGAGGGAAACAGCAAGGCTTGCATTGATATATTGATGATCACCAGCCAAACTGAGTTGTAATCCATTTAACTGTCCACAGCTAAAAGGTTGCACAACTTCCAAGGGAATCTGCAATCATAAAGAGCAGAAAAGACAGATCAAATGGCAATCAAATATGGTATTTCACTGAACATGAAAAACTTTCATATAATCCACTCGATACTGAAACTTGAGGCTTCAAGGTCAAAATATGACAAGCTAATAATAAGACCAAGCCAGATTTGGTGTAGTGCTTATGGCTAATTTAAGTTAATGAAAAACAACCTTACCCTCAATTGGTGAGCTCTTTCGGTGATAACATCCATCGCTTCAGGAAGCTGGGGTACCGTAAATGCTGGAACACTGGGCTTTAAGAGCAGGAATGACATAAGGCCAATTCAGGTAACAAGCGAACAAAATAAGACAGCAGACCAATCATATGCAACAAATTTTGAATAGATACTATATTCATACGAAAAGGTATGACGATAGATAAAGTCCCCCTTAGCAAGGTTTTATACCTTTAAGATACCAGCCTTGTGGAACGCAATCTTTCCCAAAGTATCACCTGAAAATATATTATTCAACACTTTTAAGGTCATGTATTATCTAAGATATACGCCATATACAATAACTACATCTAAACATTTTCAAATACTGAAAAGGAGACACAAACAATCCACAGGTGCCACAAAGAAGATATCTTAGCTAATACAGGGTAAGAAGTAGTTAAGACTTAGTATATGGAACTGAAAAGGGGATGGAGGATGATACCTCACCAATCAAGTACAGCATTTTCCATCAGAAGGGGGATTAAGGATATATGCCACCAAATAATTATTCAATTCCTATTCTCTCTATGCTTGATACACTTTCTACGAGTCCATTTTTGACACAAGTAACACTACACCATGACAAATTTGTTTTTCCTTCTTTCCACGATCCTTGTAAAAAAAAACTTTGGTACATATATTTGTGATGGATATAAGAAAGCAGAAGAGAATTTTGGAATATAAGTTACTACTTCATTCTCATTCAGCTTGAAACAAATAATAGGAGCTTATTGTATAAGCATACATCAAACTAAGAAAGTGAGATTAGTGACTCACGCACAACGTCCACCAGTAATAACAATCAACACGGTTATTGATTAACTTGTCTGACTCCTAACAGCCTAAGGTAATTGCCCCTGAGAATAAGGATGTTAACTTCTAACATGAAGCACTAACTTCATCAAGCCCCCTTGCTTCAAAGTTTTTAATGACCTGGAAGCACCTTTTTTTAAAGGATGAGGAAGACTAATACACCTACATGTCGACTGTAGGTAGCTTGAACATTTCACTTTTCCATTACCCTAGTCCAAAATTGTATAAATATTGTAATATAAACTCCACGAGATTACTAAACTCAACCACATTAAAATTTAGTACTTCCTCCGTTTTTTATTAGATGCATCACTTTCTATATGTGAAAGTTTTAATTTAGATGCATCACTTTCCCTTTAAGTCGATAAATTCTCTCTATCTCTCTCATATCACATGGACCCTCTTTATTTTTTCTCTCTACCTCTCTCTACTCCAAAAATTTGCCTAGGAGTCCGCAATTTCAAAAGTGATGCGTCTTATAAAAAACGGAGGAAGTATTTAACTTAGGAAGTTAGATAAAATTTAATTTTTGTCAATTATGTGAATTTAAGGAGTAAATATATTAAAGTATTATAATACAAAGTTGGTTGAGAAAGGGGGAAAATGTACAGTACAACACACTAAACCTGTGTCAATTTTTAGGGGCAATTGTCGTTGTTGCTTATTTTTAAAAAGTCATCATTTCTCTTTCTTACAAACCAGAATATTACTTGGCCAGGTGGTGCATGAATCTCATGCTGCAAGTTGAATATGCGTGTAATACAGATCAACTCAGAACACTATGCAGTAAGATTTACTAAGATCCTTGACTAACATGTAGACGTCCAATTTTGTGGCCTTACATGTTCATTCTTGAGCTAAACACATCTCTTGCTAAGTGTTGTATTTATATGACAAGTTACTGTTTCATGAACCTTTTCCATTAACCTACAATAGTTATATAATACTCCTAAAGATTGTAAATTATACTTGATTGAATTTTATAAGCCCATGAATTGGGAAGATAAGGTTAGATCTCTCATGAGAATTAATGTCACTGCCAGATTATTCATAGACAAGGGGTATATGCAATATAGACATAAAACAGTAGCACATGATGTATGAAGGTAAATCAGGCATGTCCAGGAAAATCAATTTGTAGTTAATTAGTAATTTGACACAGTATTGCATTCTTTAAAACAATATCTCTTTGACAAATCAGTAACAAAGAATATTCTGTGAATGAGTGAATCTCACAAAAGCCACTATAAATAACAAAACCTATGATAAACAGGTTTATCAAAGCAAAAGACAGTTGCAAAGCCTGGAATCTCGGTGCAGCCTTGTTAAAAATGCAACAGATTTTTTTTTTCAATTAAATCCTCATTTTGGGACCAAGGCTTTGTTATTGTTGTTGTAATCCTCACAAGGGATTGCAACAGAAAGTATGGAGTGATGGTGTCCAATACATGATGGTGGCATGTGAATGAATAGGATAATTATACAATAGTGACAAAGAGCAGACATAGACTTATACAACAACAAAGACTTAGTCCCAAAATATATTGGGGTTAGCTAGCATGAATCATCATAAGGAAATAAATGGAAAGGGAACAGAGAATTAAACCTCGGCCACAAATCCACATCCCAACCACATTGTATAGGGTTTTGAGCTTACCGCGTCACGATATTAGACCGTGACAGCTGCAAACCATCTACATTACCATGCAAAGTGGTTTTGCAATTGTGACTGCAACCGAGATTTGACTCCCTAGTCAATTGAATGGAAAGAAGTACCTAAGGTTTCCATGTGGTCCATCCCCAATGAAGAGATTCCACAAACAACAGGTTCTTTAATCTGCATAACCATGTTACATTAGATTAGCAAGTAAAGACATCAATATCCACTTTAAATTATCAACCATAAGGAACATCCATTAAAAAACTTCGATACTGAGTAGGTTTACTTCATATTCTGAACTCTCTCTCTCTCTCTCTCTCTCTCTATATATATATATATATATATATATATATATATATAGAGAGAGAGAGAGAGAGAGAGGAAGTGGTAGTTTAAAAATGCTTATAGGGTTAGATCACTACCAAAGATACATACCACATTTGTGGAATCCTTTTCCCCTCCAAAACCAACTTCAATAATTCCAACATCAACCTGTCAACAAAAATCAATAGATATCCCAATTTATGATATATTAAGGAGGCTCTCTTTTAGAAGTCTCATATAATACGGAGCATATGAATATATGACAACATGAGCTATAATGAACAGTAAACAACAGTCAACCATCTTTAAGAGAACTATTGTATTCAATTAAGCCATGAGTAGTTGCAGTCACATTTTTTTAAAAGGAGTTCTTATGAAGTACTCCATCAGCTATATTTATCCAGTTAGGGACACTCATTTTAAGGATTTAATAGAGTAAGAGCACAGGCTACCAAGAGGTCCCCATCCTCTAATTTGTATTCTGGATTCCTCTTGCTGACAACTCACTTATTCTTTCATCAACACACTTAATCCCAAAATAGAACATGGGGAAATTCAAGAGGAAGAAGGGAATATTAACTTTTTCAAGTTTTGTTTCTCAGAGTCACAAAGGTTTTCTTTGATGCTGTGAGTCTCCTCATGCCTAAAGCTGGTAGTACTGAACAAAACCATTTTCTTGCATATTAAAGATTTCAAGTGCTGTTTCTCAGTCACAGGTTTTTTTTGTTGATCCTGTGAATCTCCTCACACAGTCATGCTTACAACTAATGATGCAGAACAAAACTATACCTTTACATATGGTTTTAGTATGCTGTGAATTGTAAAAAAGAAAGTGTTGAGGATCGTGGAACTTGCTAAGACACAGTAATACACCAGACTAAATAACATGAAGTGCTAAAGGTAGCTAAACTTTTACAATAAGAATGAGTTTAACCCATTAGACTAAATCATGGTGTAAAGACTAGATCCCATATAAATTTCATAGCACAGGGTAGTTAACAAGGCAACAGATGTCAGGAACTTACTTTTTCACCAATGAATATCTTGAATGCCAGAAAAGTGAGAAACTGAAATAGGGGAGGCATAGGCAAATCATCGGTTACATTAATCTGCAGCGCAAATTTCAGAGTCCAGTTACGAAAACTGGCTCAAAATGGTAGAGAATTACCATCTACAATTTAGATGAGAACTTTGACAAAATAAAATCAAGAAACCCAAGAAAGCATAATATGTACAGGATCCTGACTCGCTACAATCACCACACAATTGCTACACGTTACTCATAGTCAATATTACCTCTGTTGAATCCTCAAATTCCAACAAGGGTAGAACGTAGAACCCTAGACACTTCATCTTGAATCCTAAAATTAAAGGAGATTCATAATATAGCCTAGGCCAACGCTTGGACACATACCAGTGACAGACAGGAGTAACCAAGTTCCGTCATAGACAAGTGCATATGCTGCCAAGTGCAAACAACCAAACTCGGAGTATACTAATGTTAGTTAATGAAACTCTTCGCATACACACTAAATAACTAATAGAATTAGAAGAAACAGCTATAGGAAGCATTCTAGAGCAGTACAGGCTAATGATATCAGGCGCCACTATAAGATAGGCTGTATAGCCTCTTAATTAGACAGACAACTCGAACACACTTAACCACCGCTTCAAACTCTCAGTAGATTTCAAGTCCACCATCCCACAAAATGTCCACACATCAGAAACTTATGAGGCAAAAGCTTTTTAACTTTGATCATAATTATATTTATGGATATGCTGATAACTAACAAGTAAATATAAACTTGTTAGGTCAACTGTATAAAATGTTTAATGAATAATGATACGAAGTATATAAATCTAAATAATAGTGACATACGGCATTGGACACCAATCGTAACTTACAAACAATTTCAAACATAGGTAGTGATACTATATAACTTTTATCTAGGGATCTTAAATCAGAAACAATGCTTTGTTAAAGATGCAAAAGTAAATAAAACGTTTCTACCGGTAGGATTACACCTTAAAACAGTGTCCCAAATGATCTATACAGAACTTAACAAATTGGGCCTACAATCATTAAGAATATACTAAAATTTGACCCATCTTACTACAGTAATAAAATTTATAAAAAATTAAAAAAAAAAATAAAGGTTTTTTTTTTTTCTTTACATAACCTAAAAGTAGTGTGAAAAGCAAAGGAGAGTTGGGGTTAAAAATCCAAGATTAAGAGAAGAGAACTAGATGAATCATATCTACAATTAGAAAGTAGAGATATTGTACCCTTAATTGATCCCAACAGTCCCAAAAGTATTGCAGAAACTTCTCTTCAGCAATGTCAACCCTACACATGCAAACCCATAGTAAACATTTTAGCAGTTTATGGAGTAACCAATACTAATTAAGCTAAGAAACATGAAGTTGCATCAAGGTGAATTGATTGAAAACAAAGCAAAAAGTATCTTTAAAACCACTTCCAAACATACAAAGACTATATGCAAACTTTACATATTGCAGTTGTGATACATCACTCCTTTGGCTCATAGAGAAATAAAGATAATACTTGGATTGAGTGATACTTCTTAAGTTGATAGCCGAGGCATGGAAAACTTTTTATTTTACTTCGTAAAAGGCCATATTGCACATCATTTGTCAAACAGCTGATATGCAGTAAGCTATTGAACAACACAGCTTCTAAAATCACAACCCAACTCCATGAAAGGCTGTTATCCGCCATTAAAAGTCTTCACTAAAACCATTCCACATATAAGAGAACCCGCCAACTAATATCATATTCACAAAACAAGACAAAAAGTACAGAACCCCTCATTTCTTCTATCATCAAGTATAAAATAGAAAGTACTTCTGAAAATAACTAACTTTTTCCTACTTGTCAATTCAAAGCATGACGAGTGGATGGTTAATGACAACTGTAACTATCAACATTCTAGAGTACAAGCTAGTTGTAGAATGTTTCATTTAAAATGCCAAGCTTTCCACGGCATTTTTTTTTTTTTTTTTTTGTAAGGAGAAATATTGCCTCCATGAATACAATAAGCAGGAAAGAATAAATAAAAGATGAAAATCATGTACAGCAATTATATATATGGAAGAGCATGCTAACCCATCAAGTCGAAACCTCTCTCTCACGTCAATTAAATGAGGTGATGTAAAAAGGCCAGTCCGGAAACCACATTCGCGTAAAATTGCTTCAGAGAAAGCACATGTCGACCCCTGGATAAAGAACATCATGTACATGTTAGGGGCAAAGGGAAAGAAAAGAAAGATATTAATTTTAAAAAAAACGTCGTTTGAATAGATCTAGGGTCTGCAATGAGCGCATAGCCCACATAACTTATTTAACTGCTTGTCTAGTTGAGACTTGAGAATTCCAAGTCCTCCCAAGGGCAAGTCGTAAATTCTTTTACCTCCATCATCATACCTGACCACCACCTCCCCCCCCCCCCCCTTTTCTTCCCATAAACAAAAATTAAGAGCAACTCCTCCGCTGGGTAGCCAGGGTTCATTCTACTAATTTTAATTGACTTCCCTGTGGTATGAGTCGTATGACCTTGGGTTAAACTCCAATCAACCTTCAGTATTTCCTACAGATGCTGGTTTGACTTACCCTTCACAGGCAAATCAAAAGGAGATTAAAGGAACAAGAGGAGAGAAAAAGGTCCATAAGAGCTTTCTGAATGGCTGACATAGAAGTAATATATTAACTCACATTAACATGAAAGAACAAAAAGTACTTTCACATTTCAGCCACATATGCATGACTGCAGGCTACCTTTAGATAGGGAGAACAAGATGTAAGATACAAACAAACTCCGACCCAGAGTATTGATTTGTGTGAATACCAATGACATGCCAAGTCTTGTTCCCAGGAGAGAAAAAAAACAAAAAAAAAAAAAAAAAAGTGTAAAAGGAAGACCAAATATGATCCCTCACATAGCCACCTCTTTTCTCTCCCTCTTCTTCTCTCTCAAACCCAAGCCTCCATTATTGAATTCTAATTCCATTGGTTTTTCCAGTAGAAAGCCCCAAACTTTATTATTTTTGTGATTTATTTCTTTAATTTTGCTTTCTTTTCACGTTTTAATAATTCCTCCTCCTTTTGCAAGGACATTTTCTCCTCAAAAGACAAGGTTTTTTCATCTCTCCTTGTGAGAGACCTTTCTTTTTATTTATTTTTCTAGGATTTTAGATCCTTTTTTTAGGTTATTATTCATGTGGAAGATGATTTAAATTCAAAAGAGTTTAAGGTGTTTCATCAATTTTCCAATCTGAACAATTATACACGAAATCATAATGTGAAGACCTCCACTTGGAAAGATGCAAAGACATCGCAGTATAGTGCTCAAGTTAAGCTTGAAGCACTGGGGTTGGAGTTGTGCTCGAGTATGAAGTTAATTCTCTAAACTTGCACTTATGATAATACTCCCCCTGTATTTTATTACTTGCTCCACTTTCCTTTCGCGGCCGTATTTTATTACTTGCTTCATTTCCTTTTTTTGAAAAATGTTAACAACATTTTACTATTTTCCTCTCCACTAGTGGTCCCCTCATATCATATTTTAATATTTTTCATATTCTCTCTCCTCCCCACTTATACTCACATTTGTTTTTTTAGATTTTTTTATTCTTTGACCAGCCCCACTTCCATCATATATTATTACTCATCCTAAAACTCCGCGCATGGAGAAATGAAGCAACGGAGGTAGTCCTAATTTCACTAAAAAAAAATGGAGAAAAAACATTACCTTCCCCTTTGTTCCAGCAACATGGATGATGTTAAGTTCAGCTATATTATCCTCCAATCCTAATATCTGGTTCAGAGAAAACAGAAATTACAGGAATATGCTCATATTCAGATGATTGCTGAGAAAACTGTCAAGTGCATAGGAAATACAATTTGCGCATCACAACATTATTGAAACAGTGGCATACATGCTAAGGTCGTTGTATAGTTTACGTACAAAACTCCAATAAATCTAGAAGAATTATTAGCTCAGCATACTAGAATCTATACGTAATATATTAAAAAGCATTCCTAATACAGAATATGTGCCACGTGTCACCCTTTTTTAATTAAGCACTATAAACATGCCACGTCACCAATATTTGCCATGTGTCACCTCTTTAAGCACTATAAACATAAGGTTAGCTGTGACAAACTACCTTCTGTATACTTTAAATATTTTTAAGCAAGTTAAACTCAGAACACAGAAGATTCATGAGAACTTGATATTAATCCTGATATTTCCTCTAAGTATCTTGGGTCGATCATCCAAAAAAATGATGACATTGATCAAGACGTGGCCCACAGGATTAAGTCGGGGTGGCTTAAATGGAGAGCGGCTACGGGAGTGTTATGTGACCGAAGCATTCCCTTACAGTTGAAGGGAAAATTCTACTAGACTGTCATAAGCCAGTGTTACTCTATGGTACAGAATATTGGGCTTCTAAGATGGAGCACATTGAAAAGACGGAGGTTAAAGAAATGCGCATGTTAAGATGGATGTGCGGGAACACTCTAAGAGATAGAATCATAAATGAGGTTATTCGCAAGAAAGTAGGTGTGGCAGGCATTGCAGACAAACTAAGGGAAAATCGCCTGCATTGTTTGGGCATGTAAGACAGAACCGGAGGGTGCACCGGTTCGAAGAGTGGAAGAGTGGGACCATGGAGGGGTTAAACGAGGGAGAGGAAGACCGAAAATGACTTGGTTGGAAGGAGTTAGGAAGGATATGAAGTATATGGATTTGCATGAGGATGAAGCAATGGATCGTAAGGGATGGAGGAGGAAGATTTTTGTGGATGACTACACGGAATAATCAAATTTGGTTCCTGTAGCCGACCCCACTTATGGGATTAAGGTTTTGATTGATTGATTGATTTCCTCTAATAGTAGATAAAGGTTAGAACTAAAACCCAACACGATATCCACTTATGGGATTCAGATTTCGTATGAACCCATGGACAAAAGCAAAAGGGTTTGCAATTCGCTGGGGGATACCACCTATGAAATTATCATGCTAATATAAGATCACTAAAGACATAGAAAAAGATGGGTAAAAGCATAGGGAAATCTCTTTCAATAGAAAGCAGCAGTTTAATAAGGAGATCATACTGCTCTCATCTCAATACTAGCTTTAGTATGCTTATAGGAATTTTCAAAACCTTAACCTATTTTAACCTATGACATCACAAATAAATTTTCCCCAGACAAGAACAAACCACTCTACCTCCTTGTAAAATACAGACTTCAGTCTTTTTCTGGCTTTAGAAGACTCCTCAAGATGGCTAAGCAAAACACCATGCTTTCTTAAATAATAACACAATTAAAATACTTTGTCAGAGTAATCACTCAAACCATGCCTGTATGGTAATATGGACATAAACTGGTGATTTTTCTAATTAGGTCAAGAGGGAAGTTATGGCATTATAAATTCATAATCAATCACAACTTCACAAGAATACATAACTCATATTACCTGCAAATACATAGTCATCCGTTCCAGCTTACTGTATTTTCCCCTGATAGTAGGCCTTTCCCCACGTTTCCGACCTGTAATGAGGGAAGAAAGTGCTTCCATGGCAGCCTCATAAGAACGTGAATGGGAAAAATTCTCCTCAATTACTTCATTCATTGTTATGTTTTCTACAACATCCGGATCCGTTGATATCGTCCTAGATATGAGACCTGAGACAGAAGCTAGATTAAGTTAGAAACCAGAGAGTAACATGTGTCATAATACACATATGGATCTAACAAAGCCCCCCCACCCCCTCCCCCTCACCGGAAAAAAAAAAAAAAAAAAAAAAAAAAAAAAAAGGATAGTTATGAACTCATGGAACCAGAAAACAGCATTTCTCATGCCAAATCAAGAAGCAAAACTACCAAGCATGTAGGTCAAACTGTAGTACAAGTACCAAGGTGTACAGCTATGATATATCGGAAATGCTTCAGTCTATGAAACCTCTGGCGTCAGATAGTTTAAGAAAAACGTATGTCTATTGGTTGAAAAAAATGGTGAAAGGAGAAAAATTAATATAGTAAGGTGTGTGTGATCCTATGCATGATCAGCAAAATAAAAATGACCCAGCTAATAAGCAATGGGGTTACATCTTACATTATCAATTTATCATTCAATTAACCATGCTTCTCGTTGCTGGCAAGTACCCAACAATCCAGCACTCAACAGCTAAAAGAAAATATTCTCGGTAACCTTCTGCCATCCCTAACTTGATATCCAAACCAGTAAAGGAGATGTATCAACCCTCCAATGTTTAGGCCTCTTTCAAAAGAATGTATAGGTTCTTTCTTTAACGTTTTTTTGTTCTTGTCATGGGTCCAAAACTTCAATTGTTAACCTGATGAGCTCTACAAGAGGGGAGGGTCAATGTAGTCGAGAACTAATAGTTAGCCATGTCAACTTTAGTTGTTAGTAGTGTTAATGAGGGAAAATATGTAAACAAATATTTAAGGGTATAAATGTCCACACTATATTCTTATTGATTTCAAAAAAAAAATAACATTAATGAGGGCAAATATATAAATAAACACTTTAGGGACATAGTCGTCTTAACACTATGCATAAAAGTGTGGCCATACTTTTAAAAAGGGTAAATACGTTAATAAACATATTTAGGGACATAATCGTCTCTAACACTATTTATAAGAGTTTACTCATACTTTTAAAGAGGTAGGGATTATAGCAGAATTTTAAATGAATGCAATAAGAAACTCTATAATGCAAGAGAGAATTTTTACATGGAAAGTTCTTGAGCCCAACAAAAAGAAAAAACACAACCCACCAGGGATTTTACTAAACTCTATATTATAGAGCAAAAGGTTGAGAGAACTCTTGTTGTAGTTAGGCTTTGAGCTGAGTCTTAGAGTGAGACAGAGCTTCAAAGTCAAAGCTTGTGAAGAAAGTTATCTGAGGTTACAGCCGTGGGAACTTGAGATTGTTGAGAAAGTAAAAACCCAAGCTAAGGTTGTAACAGAGTTGTTGCCGATATTGAAGAGTTTAGTGAATCCCTAGTGGGTCTTGCTTCTTCTTGTTGGGTTCAAGAAGCTTTCACGTAAAAAAATTTCTCGCGTTCTTGAGTTCCTCATAGCATTCGCATAAAATTTTGCTTAAATTTCTTTGTAAGTTCTCGACTACAATTCACCCCCCCTCTTATAGAGTCCCCCCGATAGGAAAGTCCACTAGACTAATATGGTCAGTTCAACATCCATGATATGTAGTCCTAAGTCCCAACATCAATGGTGTAACTGATAACTTGTTATTTGGTATGATTTTAGGGTACTTTTGAACCTTGTTTTCGTTATTAATCGGAATCAAAGTTCATTATTTATCCTATTTTTTATGCATTTTTTGTACTATCCATGCTTCACGGGTTGTCTGTGTTTTTGATGTAATATAGCTATTTTTAGCACTATGGATGTGATCAAGCATGAGTGAGCAAGGATAAGGGTAAGCTTGGTTGATAGAGCAATGGAGGAAGAAGGAGGAGTGCCTTAAAGAGAAATGAAGAGCTTTTGGAGAGTCTTGAAAGGTTGTTTGCGTAAGCGTCAACTTCAACTGACCATAACTTTTTATCTACTCAACCTTTTGAAGCGATTCAAATTGGAGATTAAAGTTCGTCTCAAGAGCTTTCCAACGACTGGTCACAAGTCCATTTCCGGCAAGAAACGAAGAAGTTATGGTCTCCCGAAGTTAAATCATCTAGGCAGGACATTCTGCATGGACGTGCAAGATGACGGCACGCCTGTGCAAGGCTGCACGCCCGTGCCAAATTATGCACGTCCGTGCAGACCTTGGCAGTAGCTTTTGCCTCCTTTCTGGCCCTTCTGCACGTCCGTGCCAAACCTGGCACGTCCGTGCAGACCTGCACTCGAGCTCCTTCCTCGTTTTTTCCGTCCTTTTTATTTGGGGGTCATATAAATACCCCCTGGAGCTCATTTGTAGGGGATATCAAAGTTTTTAGAGATTTTTCTTAGTTTTGCAATCCTAAAACATTACATTCTCAAATCATTAGTTAGTTTTTAATTATTAGCTTGAAAATATTCAAATCCAATCATCGTAGAAGACAAGTTCCACCATTGTTGCTCACTTTGAAGCTTTTCCATTTCTCTCTACTTTGTTGTTAATTATTTGCTTAATTCTTGCATGCTTAGATTGTTAATTAGCTTAATCCCTAGTTTGAACTTGTTCATGAATTGCTTGAAATCTTTAATTGTTTTAACCTCCATGGATTGTGAGTAGTCTAATCTCTAGGGTTTGGGTAAAACCCTCAATGTAGTCACTAATAACTAGTTGCATGTGCTAATTTGGTTGTTGTGGGATGTTAATTAGTTGAGCTTAAGTGGTTTAATTGCTTAGTTTTTGTATATGGCCATTGCTAGAACTATTTATCCAAGTTTTCTCAACGAAAGATCGAGAGATGAACTTGAGTTAGCTCCCTTATGCTTGATTGACCCGAAATGCCATGAGAATAGGAATTTCCGATCAAGGGAATGTTTATGTCATCGTGATTATGCTTTAACACTTGTTTTTATGTTTTGTAACCACGAGAGTAGGTTGTATTCATGATTAAGTAATCCCTCTAGCTTGAGAGAGTAGTTGGGTGCCTTACATGACTTCCTCTAATTTATCCCATTAGTTTACCTTGATTGTTGCATGCTAATTGTGATTTGTGATGAAGTTGAGTGGTATAACCCGAGCCCTAGATTCCTCTTAATATTGTTAATCTCCCCTTAGCTTTTAGTTGTATTGAACTAGTAGAAGTTACTTGAAACTCAACCAATTTCGACTTCATTTAGCTTGTTTAAACGATAGTATCTCGGTGGTTGATTCAACGCCTCTCTTGGGTTCGACCCTTTCTTACCCTTGCTAGTAGTTAGTGAGACCAAGATATGAATTATATCTTTGGTAGGCTCGACGGCCTACAGTAACTAAGCACAAAAGTTAGCAGTATTGAACAAGCTAATTCAATGACCCCAAAAAGAGAAGACATGGGAAAAGAAAAGGACAAACAGAAGAAGACAATGCTTCAAATATAATGCAAAAACAATAACAGAAGGAGGAGGGTTACGATAGGCCAGTGACAGCTAGTAAAAAACTTTGTCACATCACTTGACATGAGCCACAATGATTGAGAGTAGTATTAGGATGTGTGACTCATGTTGGTCCATGTAACTGACCCCACTTATGCTATTAAGGCGTTCATGCAGAAGAAGAACAATAACTTATGTTCATGTATCCATGCTCAAACTACGAATTAGATAGCACTGACATGCACCATTGACACCGGTAAAGTCCGGTAAAATAGATTAGTGCTTGCTTATTAGACTTAATAAATTAGCCCCAAACCATATCACTTTGCACACACCAATCTGCATGCCTAAGATTGTTATTCCTTCATGGATGGGTAGGTTAGTAAATTAGGTAACACTTCTAGTCTAAGGGTCAACTAAAGGTTCGTTTGGTATTGGTTTGGTTTTCAGTTTTTTGTTTTACAAAATCATATGATATATGTCATATAATGAATCAAAAATTAGTCAAACTTATTAAAATCATGATAAATTAGAAAACTGACAACAGAAAAGTGGAAACGTCTTTTTCTTGTTTTCTGTTTTTGGTTTTAATAAAAATAATAAAAAAAAAATTGAAAACAAAAGACGATGTCAAACACACCCTAAAATTTTCCAAGTTTTTGGTCCAAATTTCCAACATGAAGTCAAGAATCCATACCCATGTCAGAGTATAACTTGAGGTTAAATGAAGTATCCGATAATATATGGCTTTTACCATACTCAAACTAAGAAAATACGTGTTCATACTTTTCAATCAGAAATAGAGGGGGAAAAGCAATAAGTCAATAAATAAGCACTTCATTCATGAAATTTTCCGCATTTAAGTATCCTTGTTAGATGTCAGACTTTCAGCCATGACTGTGATGAGTGGACACATACATGTGCTATATAATTGCAATTGATAGAAACAGCCCTTTGATCTATACTATTTGCAACCACACAATAAACAAAAAGGTAAGCATAGGCAACCAATGATATAAGCACTACAAATTAACCATATAACTCACTTGAAGCAAGAGGATCATGTTTGTTCAAGCAAGGAGGTAAACATGAAACCCCACGGGCCGTAACACCATTTAACCGCCATCGCCTCCGGCAGAAGCATGAAATGCAAAACCATTGATGCCTTAGGAAATTATTTGATTGAATGTGCAACATAAGTTATAAATCCTGCAACATCAACCATTAAACGATTATTCAATACACACCCTAATTGCCAGCAGGAAATTAAACCTAAATCGATTTCTCACAAGAACTATCACACTACTGAACCAGTTACAACTTTAGAATCAATTCTAAACACAACCCAATTCAAATTTTCACAATAACCATCATAAATTCAATTTTTGAATAAAACCCATTTTAATTTCTTCCAAAATTCATCCTAATTCAGAGGCAATATAACTCTATAAACACATTTAACATAACCCTTTTCGATAAACAACGCCAATAATAACCACTTTATCATTTGCAACATTATAATCTCAATTATTCTCCAAGTTATCAAGATTACAGAAGCAAAAGATAACACCTTCATCCACAAAAGTAAACAAGTAATGAGATTACCAGTTGAGAGGAGAAGATACAAGAATTTATTCTTCAAGCTCAGTAGTTCACCAATCACCACAGAAGACGCAAAACGTAAGAGTGATAAAAACGGCTAGTTCGGTGCCAAGAAACCCTCCCCTTTCCTTTCCCAGACACCGGTAATCACCACACCGAGCAGCACCAAATCAATTGGGGCTTAATTGAGGGGCCGAATAGCTGCCATGGGTTCTTCAAATTGAGCCGAAATTGGCTGAAATTGGTTTGAATTGTAGTGGCTGAGCGGTTTTTGGTGCGATTGTGATTGGTGGTTGCCGCTGCAATTGCGGGCTTGTGAATTGGAGATGGCGGGTGGTAGTTGGTGGTAGTGTGAGGTGATTGAGTGGGTTGCGGCTTGGTGTGTGCAGGTTGTGAGGTAGAGAAGCAGAGCTGGGCTGCGGTGGCGTGGTTGCTGCAGCGGTGAGGGTGGCTGTGATGTGCGAATTGGTGGCGATGGTGGTGCAGGTTGCTGCAATGTGACGCCGCTGAAGATTCCGGGCTGCTGCTGATTGTTGCAATTGTGGTGCTGATGACACGTGTTACGAGTAGCCAGGTTAGTAAGTTATAAATTTGTTTGTCTCGTTTAAAATTGATACCTCAAAAGTTGTAATATTAATGTATATTTAAAAAGAACGGTCCAAATTATTACATTGAATTTCCAAATTATATAAATAAAAATGTACTTCCTCCGTTTTTTTATATCGCATCACTTACCTTTTAGGGAAGTTTCACAAATATTGCATTACTTTCATTTTAGGACAAAAAATATTTATGTTCACAATGCAAATACCCAACATATCCTTACTTTTTCACACATACTTTTTATTTTATCTTTACATTACATGGACAATTTTGTATTTTTATGTTTCTCTCTTACTTTTTCCCACTATCAAATTTTACCTCCAATCTCCTATGATGCAATTAAAAAAAATGGAGGAAGTATTATTTTTTGCAATTTTTCCTATTAATTATTACATTGAATTTCCAAATTATATAAAAAAATGAATAATGAAATAGATGACCAAAAATCTAATATCATATCACTAATAAATAAAGCCGGTTTCGCAGCCAGACTATGAGACAGCGACATTGGGCATTGTGTTTCGTCAAGTGTTACGTCACGTAGGTGACAAATAGGTATTATTGTGACACATATAATGCTAATGGATAGAGTTTTTAAGATAAAAATATTGCATAGAGTTTTATTATCTATATACTTCTAATATTTCATATATACAAAATGAATCATAACTTTTAATAATATTCTATAACTCGGTTCTATTTCCATTATAAAATTCGTTTTAAAAAGCTCTTTAAAACAAGATCCATTTATAATATATTAAAAAAAAATAGAGCAATAGTAAAAATAAGTTTTAATCCGTAAAAATAATTTAAGTTCAATAAAAATAATTTAAAGTTAATAAAAACAAAACTACAAAAGTATACTATTATATAAATATAAGCGATATGATATCGTATATAAATATCCTGCATTATCAAAAAGGAGTATATGAAACAGTATGGGCATCGCCGAGCACAAAACTAGTATATATATAAAGGGGAGTTTTTTCCCGAGTTAGAGAGCCACGTCGTAGGATAAAATTTTCCTAACTCGCCATGTAGGATTTTAAATTTTAGTGATAGCCAATCAAATAAGAGATTTGTATTTTCCTTTAGAATTAAATAATTCAAATGCCACATAAGCAAAATTTGGCGAATGAGATTTTAAAGTTTATATTAATATAATATAATATATTATCCTTTAAAATTCGAGCCGGATAAAATTTTCTTAACGCGCCATATAGAATTATTAATTTTAGTGATAGCCAATTAAATAAGATATTTGTAATTTATTTTAGAATTAAATAATTCAAATGCCGCATAAGCAAATTTTGGCGAATGAGATTTTAAGGTTTAAATTAATTAAATATAATATATTATCTTTTAAAATTAGGAATTTTATCTAAATATATCACGAATGAAAGGAAATTCACAATTTATTTTAAAATAAAAATATTAAATGATATATTACTAAAATAACAAAATTTATTACATAAATACCAAAAATATTTATTTTAAAAAATACAAATAAATCGTGCATCGCACGGGCTTTATCTAGTTTTAACTAAAAGAAATATAAAATAAAGTGATGACATCATATATATTTTAGGTGGCAAAATAATCTACCACAGTTTGACATGTGTATAGTTATGAGAAGGGATGATGTCAACGGTTGTTATTTTAGTAATAGTTATAAATGATGATGACGATGATTATTATTATTATTATTATTACTATTATTATTATTATTATTATTATTAAAAAATTAGTGGGAAGCCGAGATTCAATTTGGGCCCCAATCCCATAGCTATAGCAAAGTCTATCCTAGTGAAAATATGAGCAGCAGTACATGCCCCAATGTCTTGAGTTGTCGAGAACTTCTGTACCCGTTTTAGCAACGCAACAGCCTCCTTCTCTAATTTCCCAAGTGAAGAAAAGGAGAAGGGAAGGATACCATCCAATTGTCCGATAACTAGATTCATACTTGGCGCGTTTTCGATGAGTTGCATCCGCCACAACCAGTCTGGGAACAAAGTCAGATAACCCAGACTGTGTCAAAGGATAAGACCCAGTCAAGTCAACACAAACATTGCGACCACGATCCCACGAATAAAGTAACATATCTGCAAGTCTGAGGACCCCGTCGTTCTCTCCTGATAACCCAATGTCAACCTCCTTTGTTGCTGAAATCCCAGATCGATAGCAAACATCAATAAGGGTATCCCGAACAACATTATGCCGATATTTAATACACACAATACCAGCACATGACACCGCGTGATCACCAAAAATATCCCCATTAAAAACTCTTGAACAAGCACAGCACGGCGTCGAGACAGAAAATAATGGAACACTGCACCCAACCGATAGCACAACACAAATCGGTAAGTAGTCTTTGCATTCATCGTCTGACCCAACCCTGAAATAGGGATCGCCCGAAGCCAAGCAGAGGTGTGATCTCCCTGCTGCGATTTCCACAATGTTGATTATCGAGGAGATGGAAAAAAGGTGGATTATGTTGAAGCGGTAACCTTTGTAAAATATATATCTATCAATTTCTTCATGAGTTTAGGGGAAGCGGTCTCACTATGATTACTCAAAATGTCAGACTCCACCATTCTATTAAATAGACTCAACGCATCTTCAAAGGCTCTACCATGCCTGAAAAGACACACATCAAAACCATCTCCGATTTTACATAACAGGGGTTGTAAAACCAAAGCAAAAAGCAGAGGACCAAAAGGATCACCCTGCTGCACTGTAATACCCTGAAAATTTCCACCTTTTAAAATACTCTTTTTAATCTAAATAAAACTCATTTTAGGAAATAATCAAAATATTACCGCCAATGTGATAACGACTAAAGCTATTTTCAAAGTCACACAGCATAAGTCTAGAACTAAAAATCAACTTTTCAAAATAAAACTTGAGTTTACAACCTCTAAACATAAGTAAAATAAAACGTTCACAAGTTGGAACCAATATAAACATGGCCCTTTAAAAGCCAACTTAAAATAAAACATAACAATGTTAGTCCATGAATAATAAATCAACAAGTCAAAATAAAACTAAGAAAGCATAATAAGTAACTCTCTGCACTCATTCCCTTCATGCTCTTCATGCTTTAAGTACATGTCACTTTCTCTTTATTTCAACCCCTCTACTCACCGTGTCATAGTAGGGTCAATCCAAATGAAAGCCAAACACAAACACAAAAGTACGAATCATTAAAAGCCGAGTACATATGCACAACACTAACATGAATATCCTAGTATCAATAAATAATTAAAACATGCTCGCTAAACAATTCACAAGTCAACTTACCTTTGACTCATAACTAACAATATTAATTATTAATAAATAGCTTTGGATTACGCATCGAATGGGTTTCCTTCCTTGAATATAGCCCATTTAAATATTGAGCTTCCAATTAGGGAGCTATCCCAATTAGCACCTACTATGTCACCTTGTGACGGAATTCCAGTGCATTAATAATAAAATAAAGTACATCGTCTTGTACCCCTGCAGAAGTTATGATCAAATATAAAGTCACATAACTCCCCTCATGTGTTCAAACAAGATTATTGATTATCTTATTAAGCGTGATTATAAGTATCAATTCCCTTTAAACATGCATAAAAGGTGTGATCAAGCAATAACAATAAATATCAAGCAACATAATAATAATAATAACAACTACAAAGCATAATTATTAAATTATAATCATGATTAATATTAACAATAAAGCATAATATAGCAAGATCCTAGGCATGATACTAACAAGATTAATAATAAACCCTAGCATGTCACTAAACAATAAAAATCAAAGCTTTAACCCTTACATGATACTAACATGATATTAGGAAAGAAAATAAAAAGCGTCACAACAATCATACTTGATATTAGGAATTACCCTAAACATGATACTAGAAATCAAAATAAAAATCTAAGCATGATTTCTATATCATAACATCATTAAACAATTAAAGCACTTACTTGGATGTCTCGTATCTCTTTCTAATAACAAAATACACACATTAGTAACTTCAAGGAAAATAATAAAATTAAAACAATTAATTAAATTAAATAATTGAGATAGAGAATAAGAAAGTTTAGACTAGATTTGGGACCAAACCCTCAGAAATATCAAACCTTTCACGTCTAGGGCGAAGGCAACTTTGAATTATGTTAGGTGTGTCTAGATCTTGTGAATGCGGAATTTTCTTTGTAAAAGGCTAGGATTAGAAAGAGGGAGAGAGAGAGAATAAGCTTTAGCTTAGAGACAGAAGAGAATTAGAGAGTTTTGGTTAAGTATTCTTGAAAAACGGAGGTCTAAGGAGACTATTTATAATGAAAATAAGCCGGAATATGATAAAAAAGAATCAGAGTTTGAAGAGGAATAAAACATGACAATGTCGCCACAATTTCCCCTGTCACCGCGCAACAGGGTGCAGCGCCGCGCGACAGGCCTGTCGTCCGGCTCTGCAAGACAGTTTTTGCGGATTTTGTTTTTATCATATCGTTTGATACAAAAGTCCAAATAAGAAATATAATATGTCGTTGGAAAGTTCTTGAAGTCTAATTTCCAATCCAATTGGAATCAGATTAAAATCTTTTGTAGATAAAAAGATATAACCAAAATAGTGGAAGGGTGTCAGTTTTGGATAGAGTTTCATATCTCATTCATATCTTTTTCGTTATAACTAGGAATTAATATTATAATATATAATTGGAAAGATAATTTCAATATCTATCCAAACATATAATATTTGGATAAATATTATGAGGCACAAAAATAAAATCTGAACATATTTCATCTCGTACAAAACAAGGATTCTTAAAAGTAGTAGTTTTATTCAATTTCAAACTCTTTGAAATATAATTATCAATCCTAACTCCATTAGGATTTAAGAGAACGTTCTAGAGTATTCTAGAAGACTATAATCAATCCTAATAGCTTTAGAAATGATAATTAATAATACGCCCTCCTCTAGATCATTGGGCCGTATGTAAGAACCAAACCGGGCCCAATTTAGTATTTTGGCCATAACTTCCTCATTATTTATCGGAATTGGGCTTATAATGTATCATTGGAAAGAT